TAATTGGTGGTAAGTGGTATAGTAAAATTGACTTAAGTTTTGAACACTTCCTACCTATAGATTTTACTTGAGTTGTGTGCTGATTTAGGGATACATTTAATGAACTGAACAATCCAGTTCGATGGAGTGTAGAAAAAGAGGGGGATCTTTGAGAGACAACCTAAAGAAGGAGACAGGAGCCAGATCATGGAGGGCCTCATTAGCCATGGTGGGGATTTGGGGCCCATTGACGAGTTTAAGGCAGATGAGTTTCCTGATCTGACAGTAGGGTGGAGAATAGATTGGAGGGGGTTAATGATTTGCTCAGCCCTTTAGACATGTAATAAAACAAAATAATTTTAGTGTAATTTCATACCACTGTATCTGAATACCTGGTTATAAATAAAACCCCTCATTTACCAGATGGGAAGCTGTTTGTTGAAATGTACCTCAATTCTGGGATCTTTCAACTTATCACAAATTTTGAAATGTACAGTAGAATGACTCACTATGAGGAAAAATAAAATATTACAAACATTCCTCAATCACTAAGCTCTGAGTAATAAATGCATTGAGGAGTCTGTGTTGGGCATATGGAGAAGCATATGTTCCCTCATCCTTTGAGCTGGTAGAGCTGTGAAAGTGAGATTAGCCTCACAAAAAATGACAGAAAGGGAAATTTTATATATATTTTTATATATATGTATCAAATATGTACATGTTGAATTCCACTATAATACAAAGAAGAAAAGAAAAATGTATAAAACCACTGGAATGTATAAATCTTGTATTGAGAGACAGGATGAATTTATGGTTGGGTTATATTAGGCTTATATTCTAATAAGTGCTATATTTCTGGATATAAATTGGCCTAAAGAATTTTTCAAATCCAGAGAGTAAGGATACAATAATGAGATTCAATCATTATTAATTTATGAAACTAACAGATTACTTTTATAGAATCACCAGGCAAAATCTTAGCTGTATTCAGATGTTTACTTTATAAAAATTCTTCTAGTACTTCAGTTGTAATTTCTGAAATTTAAAAATATGTATTCGTATTATAATAGAAAGTTTAAAAAATCTTGGTTCTATTAGTGCACGCCAGCCTGAGTTTCCACTGCAATATGAGCAACCTTACGGCTTAGACCATATGACCATGGGAGTCATTGATCCCACCATACATGTGTCATGCAGAAGCTGCCAGACTAGTGGAACACTGGAATGGACTCTGAGCTCCACAGCTTGTAGATGACAATCTGTGGGATTAGGGTACTGTCCTTCAAGATTTAATATTCACTTTGAACCAACAGCCATTATATGATACTGTGTCCTCAACAGATAAACTACATGGATCTGGGCACCAACAGGTAAAAGTAGAAGGGACCCCTCTCCCCAGTACTCTTGATGATCCATTTGGGGGAATTAGTGCTTTCTATCGTGGTAATCTCCACAGGCATTGTGAGAATGGAGGTCCTGGTTTCTGTGGTAATCCTCTACCAGGGAACGGTTAAGAATCTTACTAAATTTAAGTTACGGCTGCAGTCTGGCCGTTTTTCACTTCCCATGCCAGCAGTCTATCAGGCAAAGAAATGAGTTACTATACTGGTAAGGGCAATTAACTCTAATTGCCATGAGAAGTTAGAGTTGCTACTGCATAAGAGCAGTAGAGAGGAATACATCTATAATTCAAAGGATTCACCAGGGCAACTCCTTTTTCCTCTTATGACTTGTAATCACCATAAATATGCAAGTGAAATAACCACACACCGGTAAGTGAAATGACAGCCAGGGGTTCAACCCCTCAGGAATAAAGGGCTCAGCGATTCCCCTTGGCAACAACAGAGATCAGCATTTTGACGCTTGAGGGTGAGAGGAAGCTGGAATAAGAAGTAGGGGAATATAATAAGGAATATCACTTGCAGACTCTGAAATAATTACATCAGGAGATACTCTAGCTTGTCCCACTAACTCTAATGTAATAAAACATTTTTTTCTAAAGAAATTCTGACCAACTATTACCTAGAAGAATCAAGGATAGGACTCAGAGCACTTACCATGGGAAATGGGTGGATTTCCGTTGTGCAAGGGATAGACCAAAGCACATTTTGTCAATGTCTCCACATCCTCTCGCCCTTACCACTTGGCTGGTACTGGCTTGATTAAGAACCTGCATTTCTCTACCTTCCAGCAAGAGAGCCTGAAAATGCCAGTTAATTAACACTGCCAGTGCAGCCCTCAATCAATAACTGATGGAAACTGCTGTATAAATACCTTAGCATCCTTGCTCCTTTGGTGGGATAACTTTGAAATGTGAATTTCACAATGGCTCCAAGAATTTCTCCAGAACATTTAAGTTCTGGTTACTCCTTGGTAGTTGGCTTGATTACACTAATTTTTATTTGCCCTCTTCCTTTGTCTCGCTTACTCACTCCTCTTCCTATTTTTTCTTCCACTTAGTAGATGAACTACTGTCTCTTGAGTCCTTGTCTCAAGGTCTGCTTCTTGGGGAAATCCAAAATAAGACATGCATGGAGACATTTAGTATTCATCTCACTTAATCCTTGTTTCAGAATTATTGAGAAACTCATCCAAGTTTATTTAGCTAATAAATGTGGCTGCTGGACCTTGAACCCAGGTCTCTCTGAATTTAAAATCCATATTCATTCCACTACTCCACATTTCTGTCCACATAACCTGGTTGTTATTTTGTGAGTAAGTCCTACTTTCCAGCATTGAAGCCATTGGGCTCTATTTAATCTCCTGATT